GTCCAGTAGCGGAGGGGAAGAGAGAGGAAGAAGAAGAAGAAGAAGAAGAAGAAGAAGAAGAAGAAGAAGAAGAAGAAGAGGACGAGGACGAGGAGGAAGAGGAGCAAGATGAGGAAGAGGAGGAAGAGGATGACGAACCCCGACTCAAATATGCATATCTTACCAAGCACCTAGGATCGGTATATCGCAACGGGGACGCGACCAGTACATTTCTTGTGGCAGGCGACAAGATGGTGCGTCTACAACTTTGACTATTAATCCCCAGCCCTTCTTGTTGACTGACACTTGACGTCCAGATCGTCGGAACTCACAATGGAGTCATTGTAAGTGAACTGTGCCTAGTATCGCCATTAGTTCTCGCAGGGCTCGACTGACTTTGACTAGCATGTCCTTTTGTTGCCCCTTTTACAGCCTCTGCGTGTATACCAAGCGCATTCAGCAAGTGTTACTTCTATTTCCTTATCGCCATTCCCACCACCTTTGTCGAACCTTAAGCCCGAGAACGCCGGCAAACAAACCGCAGAAGACCACGGACCTTTAACACGAACATCAACTAGCACCGGCAGCATTCGGGGTCACCCACGGCCGAATCACAATGGGACAATTCCAGCTACCCCATCTAACTCCATATATATCGCCTCTGCATCCATAGATGGAAATGTATGCATATCGTCTTTAGTCGACCCCAAAGATATTTTGAAGAGGAACTTTGGCCGGCCTGTCCAGGCCGTCGCTCTCTCCCCCGATTACAAAACTGACAGAACATTCATTTCTGGAGGGCGAGCTGGCGAGCTTGTTCTGACAACCGGGGGTCGGATCGGGGTTAGCTCAAATGCCACCACAATGGGAGGAGCAACCGCAGCGGCGTCAAGCTGGCTTGGGTCAATGGGTCTGGGTGCCAATAGTGGTAAAGATACTGTTCTACACAGTGGCGAAGGTGCTATCAGCACCGTGCGATGGTCTCTCTCGGGAAAATTTGTCGCCTGGGTGAACGAAGAGGGGATTAAAATCATGCGATCGAACTTACACCTCGAGTCATCCGAGTCCGAATTTGCATGGAAGCGAATTAGTCACATTGATCGCCCAAATCGACCAGGGTGGGAGGAAATGGCTAGTGTTTGGAAAGCGCGTGCAGAATGGATTGACCAGTCTGCCTTGGACAGTGATGATAATCTCGACCCCGGTGATGCAACAAACCGGCAAAACTCGTCGTCAAAAGCTGTATCTGAAAACTGCGAGAAGTTAGTCGTCGGCTGGGGAGGCAGCGTGTGGGTCATCGATGTATTCCCAAACCGTGCGAATAAATCCTCAAAAGGCGAGAGATATGGTTCTGCCGAAGTGGCTACAATGTAAGCCAGGCGATCTACTTTTGTTCGCCTAAAACGGATGCTGACTAAAGATACAGACTGCGAACAGACTGCGTGGTTTCTGGCATTTCAATGTACTCACCTCGCCTCCTTGTCGTTCTTGCATTTATTGAGATTGAAGATGGGCCACCCGACTCTAACCATCGAGGCTCTGGCCGTGGCCATCGCCAGAAGGGGTTGGAGCCCGAACTCCGTATCATCGACATTGAAACGAAAGAGGAACTCAGCGCAGACACACTATCTGTCAGTCGTTTCGAAGGTTTGGCTTCGTCGGACTATCATCTGAGCGTCCTGCCTCCATGGAAAACCGCGGAGGGGCAAGTGGTCCAGCGAGGGGCTCTTGGAGCTCTTGGTCATGGCCTTCTGGATGCCACTATGTATTCAGCTCGTTTATTCAGCTCTGGTGCTAGTATCCGTAGTACTACAAGCAGCGGCGACAGGATCTCTGGCAGAGGTCCTCCATCTTTCATCTCCAGAAACCTATCTGGCGAAGAACCTTTATCCAAAGAAGTTCAAGATGTCTCAGGAGCACCAGGCGCCAAGATATTCATACATAGTCCGTTTGATTGTGTTGTTGCCGTCAAAAGAGATCTTTCAGACCGAATCTCTTGGCTCGACTCCCACGGCAGATTCGAAGAAGCATGGAATCTCGTTGATGAGAACCCCGAAGCAGCAGAATCTTCTCTTGAGCTACCAGAAATTATCTCTGGGTCTGTGAAATCTCAGAGCAGCTTAGGCGACTTTTTCGCTGACGACCGATCATCCGTTATGACTGCCAGCGGGGCAAAAATTTCTGCTGCTGACCGAGAGAAGTCTCGAATTGGTGAGCGCTGGGTTGAACAGCTCGTTAGCGAAGAGAAATGGGGTGAAGCTTCCGAGATCTGTGGTAAAGTGCTGAAGAATACCTCTAGGTGGGAGCACTGGGCATGGGTATTCATAAAAAAAAACAGGGTTGACGAGATCACTGCACATATTCCAGTCGACTTACACCCTTCACTTTCAACTTCGATCTACGAGTTCATTCTCAAACACTATATTTCGCGAGACTTGAACCGGTTTAAGGAGCTGGTTGATACCTGGCCTTCAGATCTATTTGACTCTAACGATATAACCTCTGCGATCCAGGCTCAGCTTAAGTCAGGCTCAACCCGAGTTGAGTCCGAGGAATGGCGCATTCTGACCGATTGCTTGGCTAAGCTCTTCTTAGTGGGAGGCCATTATCGCGAAGCTTTACATTGTTATATCCGTTTGCAGGATGCAGATGCAGCTATGTCGTTGGTCCTCGAGCATCGATTGGTAGATGCTGTGTCTGATGACATCCCAGCCTTCGTCAAGCTCCGTGTCTCCAAAGAGCAATTGAAGTCCCCATCAACTACACAATCTCAGCTAGAGGAGTTGACCGCGCAACCGATTCAACTCCTTGCTAGTGAGGCCTATACTGGCATCGTACCACCCAACGAGGTAGTATCTCAGCTGCAATCTTCGAATCGTCTTTTTTTGTACTTCTATCTTCGTGCACTGTGGCGTGGCGAGTCGCTCCCACACGATGCTTCTAAGCCTCGGCGAGGTCGTGGAGCTAATGCGCGTGATGCTGCCAGCAAATTGGCTGCCGACGAGGGGAAAGCACTAATTGATAATTTCTCTGACACGGCTGTCGAAGTTTTTGCAGGATATGATCGACCCCTTCTCATGGAGTTTCTACAAACCAGTATCTCCTACAACTTCGAGGCAGCTATTTCGATATGCATGGATTCTCACTTTACCGCGGAATTGATATATCTGTTTTCAAAGACGGGCCAGACAAAGCGAGCTTTGAATCTGATTTTGTCGGACTTGAAAGATGTGTCACAAGCGATCTCTTTTGCCAAATCGCAAGATGATCCTGATCTCTGGGAAGATCTTCTCGACTATTCGATGGACAAACCTAAATTCATCCACGGGCTGCTTGTCGAAGCGGGAACATCAATCGATCCTATCAAACTTGTCCGTCGGATCCCAAGTGGGCTTGAAATTGAGGGTTTGCGTGATGGCCTTACAAGATTGATCCGAGAACATGATTTGCAGGACAGTATCAGCCAAGGAGCAACACGTGTCATGCAGGGCGAAGTGGTGCAAGATATGGACAAGCTGTACAAGGGCCGGCGTCGTGGAATCAAATTCAACATTGCCGAAGATGATGCATTCGAAAAGAAAGATGCGGCGCCCAGCCTAAATGGCTCCGTGAACTCATCAGGTCTCGGGCAAGGGAAGTGCGGCGGCTGCCATGCCCCCTTCCAAACCAACGGTATGTATCAGGCGATCCAAAGTTGCTCGAATATTAGAACTAATCTTTTAACAAAACCTCAGAACGCGAAACTCTCATCGGCTTTACTTGTGGCCATGTCTTCCATTTATCGCATTTACATTCAGACGCATCGCGCCCTCAGTCTGATACAGGAAGTCCTGAACGACACGAAGACCGCACTCCTCGAGCCTCATCCCCTCTCTTCGAAGATTCCTCTGTCACTGCTTCCCGCATCGTCGGTCGCAAGGTATTGACAGCACGTCTCCTTCGAGACAAGATTGGGGACGGTTGTCGGATTTGCGCCCTTACAAGAAAAATCGAATCCCTTGGCAGCGAGGGCGAGGTATGAGGTCCCTGTTATTGCACCGAAATCCTAGCATATCTGCCATGCCATGGCCTAGCCTCCGCTGTCCACTATTTCCTTTTGAGATACCCACTCATCATTACCTATATTCCGTTGCATTAAAGCGCATGTTGTTACTACCCACGCAGCCATTTCTCATGGCGCCATAAATGTGTCATAAGGTGTTCGTTATGGTCACGCGTGAGGCTACGTATAGATGGTCCCATACCAGCGCCTGCTTGTTAATCAGTTTTGTACCTCAACCTTGCAAATACGAATTCCAGCATCTAGAAATCTAGGAGCCTAGTCACGTACCTAGGTATTGGCATTACCATTTCCCCTATTGCAATGATGTGGGTTTCTTGAACACGCAAGATTGGCTACGAAGTACTACATATGTCGCTGCTTAGCGGTAATTGGTAAGAAAGAACGTACATGTACTACAGCTATGCATACTAAGTATTAATTCTACTACTACCACTTTTAATTTATGCGCAGCATTAGAACAAGCATAAAATCCAGCCGTGACTATGACAAGGCTGCGTGAACAGGGTCGATTATTCAGTGTCCCACATTTAGGCCATAGGCACAATTTAATTGGCTATATGAGAGAAACTGTGGGGAGCTGATTCAACGCCGGCCCGATCCTTTACCTTACTTGGGTATTTGTACGAAGAAGTACACTAACTCCGGTGGGGTTATGGGATCCGTTTGTCTGGCCTTTATCTCCTCTTCCCGTGGGTTTGATCTTGAAGCAGATGCATAAAGTCTATGCTGCATGGCTTGGCTTCCTCCATAATATTCTTTTCTGCTCTTAGTCGTTCCTTTCAAACATATTTCTTACACTCGCTTAGACCGCTTGGTCATCCGGTTTTTATTATTTTAATCATTTGACAGAATCCAGGAAGCTGTTTGTATACAGATCACTGTCGTATTCAACTCCTTCTCCTGAAGCCCTGACTCTTCTACCTGGGTTACCAGAGTTCATCACTTTCCTTTTACCAGCATGGCCAGTCTAAACGAACAGAAACCTGACTCAAGCCCCTCTACTCTTAATGGAGGGGAGGAACTAGTTGAATCCCATGATATTGAGAAACAGCCATCTCAACCTGCAGCCACAGACTCTCTTTCGAAAACACTCACTCAAACTATAGCGCCAGACCTCGAGCAGAATGTCTCCCGAACTGCTACAGCCCCAACGATCCAAGGACCAAAATTCCCCGAAACTGATCTGGATCAGGGTTTAGTCGGATGGGATGGTCAAGATGACCCCGAAAACCCTCAAAATTTTGCCCCCAGCAAGAAGTGGGCCCTTCTTGCCTTGATCAGCGCCTTCACGTTTCTTTCACCTCTGGCATCCAGCATGTTTTCACCTGCAGTTGTATTTATGGCCGAGGAGTTTCATCAGACCAATGAGACTATTCTCGCCTTCACTGTTAGCATTTATCTGGTTGGATACGTGGTGAGTGACAAATCATCGAATATCAAAACAGCCCGAGGCTCTACAATTCCGGTCGTTCTAATTGTTCGGAATCGTGCTTCTAGTTCGGTCCTCTGATCCTCGCCCCCCTGAGCGAGATTTACGGCAGACGAGTGGTTCTCAGCGGTGCCAATTGGTTCTTCGTTGTCTGGCAAATCGGATGTGCACTCGCCAAAAACATTGAAACGCTCATCGTGTGTCGACTATTTGCCGGTATTGGCGGATCTGCATGTATCACACTCGGAGCTGGTGTTGTTGCAGACCTCTTCCCGACAGAATTGCGCGGAATGGCAACCTCCATTTGGAGTATGGGGCCACTGATTGGACCTGTAGTAGGCCCAATTGCTGGAGGATTCCTGGGCGAAGAGGTTAGCTGGCAATGGATCTTCTGGTTGCTGCTCATTGCAGGTGGTGCTATGCAGATCGGTATCGAGCTGCTTAATAAAGAGACATACGCCCCTGTTTTGATCAAATGGAAAACCGCAAAGCTGGCAAAGGAACTAGGTCGTGCGGACTTGAAAAGTGCCTATGATCTTGGTAGTGAGCCGCTCTCGAACAGTCAGCTTCTGAGGCGTAGTCTGATTCGACCGGCTCTGCTTCTTTTCAAATCGCCCATTGTGCTACTTCTTTCAATCTATATGGTCAGTATTATTGTGCTCTTCTGTGATGAAGTTACTCGGAGAACAAAATTGCTAATCGAGGGGATTAGTCGCTTGTCTACGGTCTACTCTACCTATTTTTCACGACCATCTCCGATGTCTTCACGAGTACATATGGCTTTAGTGTCGGACTATCTGGTCTCGCATACCTAGGCATTGGCATCGGATTCTTTGGAGGTCTTGTCTTCATCGCCTTGACGAATGACCGCATCGTTCAAAAGCTCACTGCTCAGAACAAGGGCAAGTTTGAGCCAGAAATGCGCCTTCCGACGATGATAATTTTTGCCTGCATCTTGCCTATTAGCTTTTTCTGGTATGGGTGGACCGCCGACAAACATGTTCACTGGATCGTGCCTATCATTGGCATGTTTCCCTTTGGTGTCGGCATGATGGGTGTCTTCATGCCCATCCAGACATACATCATTGACTGCTACCCGGCATATGCAGCCTCGGCCAACGCAACCTTAACGGCAACCAGATCGCTTGTCGGTGCCTTCCTCCCACTCGCTGGCCCAGCCATGTTCGACAGCCTTGGCCTTGGCTGGGGAAACTCGCTGCTTGGATTCCTCGCACTTGCTTTTGTTCCGATTCCCATCATTTTCACCAAATATGGCAAACAAATTCGAGAGAAGTGGCCTGTTAATCTCTAGGCGGCACGGGGATGGGGAAAGGTCGACATAAGAAAATGTTAATATTGCATCGGGAATGCACAGACAGGTATTCCCAACCTGAATTTTCCTAAAGCTTGAAGTTATAGAATCTTTTCAATATAATATAGAATTAGCATGTTTATACCTACCTAATCCTGACTGGACTGTGGTAAACCAAGTTTTTGCTGGTCAGGGTCATAGAAAGCTCATTCCAACAAGAAATCATGATTGGAAGGTTTTATTTGCTACTCTCGAGTCAGCTTGATTTTGGAATACAGCCATGGGCCAGGAACTTTGGAAAGCGCTCAATGATAAAATTCGGAGTAGAGAAAGTGAGTTAGATTCCAACATCCATGGTCACTACTCGCCAACCCACATACCGTAACTTGCCTTCAAGAAAGGATCGCCCGTGTCTAATCATGGTTTGACTGGTCGGAGGTGATTACTGTGTACCTCTCTACAGCCCCAACTGAATATGAAGAGCATGATGCTTCACCAAGCAAAGTGTCGGAGCTGAGTACGCCAAACCGCCCGCGGGTACTATATCTCGCCTAGACAATCAGGACTAGAAGTAGTGATGATACCATTTTGAATCCGACTCAATACAAGGAAACACTTCAGTTTCTAATATTAAGGATGAAAACCTCTATTATATTAAAACTTTGGATATCCAAGCACATGCTACTGGGGCACAGTTTCCTAGCCTCACGCTATATTGAAAACAAGCGACGCAACATCAACACCTACCATGAGATTGGGGTATTTATTAATGAACTCCTGCATAAGACCCCAGCCTTCCTCTTTCATGATCGTCTCATAAAACGCCGGTTTAATACGGATCTCATTGTCCTCGTCACGATCAAGAATCTTCACGCCCCACGGCCATCGAATCTTAACAGAGCACGCCAAGAGCCCAAATAATTCATCGCGATTATTCTCATACAGTGGCCATTGCTGTATGAGATTTGATCTCAATTTCGGATAGGGCAGAAAGCTTATTGATATGGGGTGCTCGATCTCAAATTGTTCCTGGAGGGGGCGGATGAATGGGGGCAATTTCGCGAATGTCTTTGGGTTGGGCTCGATGATCCATTTTGAAAAGTGGTAGATTAATAGACCCATTGCTAGTCGCTCTGGGTCACGCACTGGTCGTCGTTCGATGATTGTATGAATCATGTTTGCTAGCATGTTGGTCTTGCTACCGTACAATATATCAAGTGGTGATTCGGGCGTATCGGGGCACTGGGCGATTAGATCTGGATATGCCAGCCACGGTAGAGATGATTTCTCGATGTTGGATAGACCGTCGGAGCACAGAGGAAGCTCATTCCAGGGTGAGGTGGGATTGATCCGGTGGCTTGCAGGGGTTTGTGGTAATGATGGCGGTGAAGTCGAAGGGCCCATTGAGCACGCCAGGTGCTCCGTCGTATCCAAATAATTAGGCACCGCTGGCGTATAATTTGCTTGTGGGAAAGAGTGTGCGGTTTTTTCAGTATTCGTGTCTTGGGTCACAGTCATTGGCGAGCTGGAAGGCCCCATCTCTTCAAACTTCTCATCCCATGAATTGAGTACCGTTCTCAGGGCCCTTTGTTGTGCCACGAGAAGTTCATTCTGCTTTCGAAGGCCGTCAATGACCCCAAGGAGGTTTTTGACCCCAGCGTCATTGTGATGTTGTTCACAGTGGGCCACTCGTGCCTCGAGTTTAGCTGTGTGGCGCAACTTCTTGTCGCGCAGGTTCTGTTGCGCGCGACGATCTCGATCACGCTTTTTATCAGCAGAAGACCGGTCTGACATTGATATACAGTCCGCGTCAATCTTGTTTCAAGAAAATCAATCGTTCCTAGCTGGACTGGACAAAGGGAAATGAACTTTAATGATGTGGTGGTTGGATGTATTGTGCTTCGGATTAATGAATTGTCCGTTGCATAAAATTTGTACACCTTCAATCCTCAACGACGGCAGAATTACTAGCGAAACATCTGCCGTCATCCAAGGGTCCATGGATACTTTTGGAATACTACCTCAACCTAAAATAAGTGATTTCTAAGTTTGCACACTGTCGCCGACTTCAAAGTTCGAGGTGCTCAGTTTCTAAGTTCAATACTATCTTTCAGAACCCCCGCCCCCAAAGGTACTGCCTACTACTACTACCACTAATTAGCCAGTGGGTTGAATTTGATAAGAACAGCCTATGGATAATAGACACCGTAGAAATTAACATAAGAGATCTGCATAGAGACACTTGTTTTTCATTACAGCTCTTGATAAAGCCTATCTCCAGACATTTGTAATAAATGGCGAGCATACTGGGTTGAGTAGCCTGGCCATCAAAAGAAACAATAAAGAGAGGTGTAGAGTAATCATCACAAGGCATGTTGGATGCAAAGCAGACGTATGCAATTACCAAGTGTTCACATGCAACAATAAGAAATGCGGGGTAGAAAGTGTATGACAACATCATTCATCATGCCGAGAACAAAAATGCACGACTCGGAAGATGCAGATAGAAGTTTGAGTATGAAACGCCGTGGATGCAGGGTGGTGGGAGGTGAGGAGAGCGGGTTGTCAGATCAGACAGATGTGCCAAGTTAACAAATGGGGGTTGATCGTGACAGGGACCGATTACAAAGGAGACAACGCCAAGGTTGTGTGTGCAGATAATAGGATCGTAAAATGTCATAAGAGGATTCAAAAGGAATAGGGGGGGTAATGGGATAAATGAACAAAGAATTGAAGGGGGAGTGCCGAAGCAGTCGGGAGAACATCAAGGCCGCAACTCGCCACCTAATTGCAGGGCAAGGCCGGCATCTTTGCGAATTCTGGGGCTTGAGGTGCTAGGAGGCACGAGAGCATCGAAATTCAGTCGTTTGCGAGCATCTTTAGTGGACAAGGGAGTTCGACCAGGGTTGCCAGGTGTACGGCCACCCCATGCTGGTTGGGCTGGACTCGGTGTCACATTCACGAAATCAGCAAAGTTGAATTGTTGACCGGGGGTTCCAAGACCCGGCGTCAACGACGGTAGGGCGGCGTGTTGGCTTGGGGGAGTAGAAGGCGGGAAGGCTTGATTTTGCGAGCCTGCTGCGACACGAGCTGGCGTTGGCGAGTTTGCGAGGTAGAGCAGTAGATCGGCACCATCCTCATGCTGTGCTGTTCGATCATTGCGTGACAGGCGGGCATGCTTGGGAGGCGGGGTTCGCGGGGGTGAAGAGCCTACCATGGAGCTCACATTCTGGAAGCTATGCAAGGGCAGCTCCGGGTCATTCTCCTCATCAGAAGGGCCATGGTATACCGGAGACGACAGCTCGGGAATAGGTGCTTCGGACATGAAGGGCACATGGGTCTGTCGGGATGTGAGGTGTCGGTTGAGACCCGGGGAGGATTCGGGAAGTTGGTATGATCTCTTCCAGGAGACTCGGGGGGGCCTTTGCTGGTCGTTCTGCGCCGGAATCCGATCGCAATCGCTTGCGGCTGGCAGAGAGCATGGGCTGCATGACCCGGGAATTGAAAGTCACGGCATGTTTGTTGCGGGCGGACCGAGGAAGCTCCTTGGAGTAGGTAGCGGCTTGAAGGGGAGGCGAGGTGAAGGGAGTTTCGCAGCGGCTGCGTGAGAAGTCGGAGGAGGAATCGGAGGGTTTGTCACTGTCCAAGGGAGAGATGGAGTTTAGACCATGAAGCCGACCATGTTGGTACTTGAGTTTTGCTAGGCCCAACCGATCCTGCAAACTCAGGGAGACCTGAAGGAGGGAATTCTTGGTCAGCTTGGATTCTTCACAGGAGGTCCTTGGCAGGGTATCTGCAGTGCTGGAAGACCTTTTTGGTGCCTGCGTTGACATATGCACCCTTTTGGGGAGGGGGAGTGTGAAGTTTGGCCATGATGGGGTTTTCAAGGGATCTCTCTCTTGGGGGAAAGACTCACTTGGGCAATATCAATTTTGCGAATGGTCTTCTCCGCCGAACCTGGCTGGGACATGGTCATGATGGATAATAACAAAAGAAGAGAAAAGGCCGGAGTGTCGAAGGCCTTGGGGGGTCCAGGTTGCAGTAAGGGCGGCTGGGAAAGAGAGGAGAGGTCCGATGTTCAATGTTCAATGTCCAATGGGCGAGCGGAGATAGAATCCACTTGGGGAAGCCAACGATCGGACAAATGAGAACTGACGAAATACCAAGATGAAAAGTAGATTAAAAATGAGAAAATAAAAATTTGGAGGAATGTCAGGTATCTCTGAAGGTATGTTACTATGTAGAAGTGCCAGTGATGTTCGTGTGTTCATGAAAGAAAGAAAGTGTGCGTTGGCCAAACGCGTGCCGCGTTTTCCTTTTTTTTGCCTTTTCACCCGACGCGCGCTTTTCGTGTTTTGCTTCTTTCATCACCCACGGATACCTAGGTAGATTTGGACATAACCAGACAACACACCTTTACTTTGACGTCGATCTACAGAGTACGGAATACGGAGTACGGAGTACACGAGGGGGTAAACATATTACCCAGAACAGAAGGATGAAAAATTAATCTGTTAAGTGGGCTCCAGCTTAGCCCCCACTCCGACTCCCTCAGATTTGCTTTTCGAGAATTCCAGGGGGCCATACTACACCTACATGACATGCCAAATGAGATTCCTGATCCACTTTTGCCACACCAGACCAATGGTACATACGGTACTCTGTACCAACATCGATGTCATCGTCCTGAAGAGAGATGAACGTTGCTTGATCCGGCATGCTGGCCGTTGCCGTTATCGTCGAGGCGTTGCACGGACCATCACGAGGTCTCATGCCTCCTGTTTGCTGTTTTCTGTACAGGTATTGATGGCGGGGAGCAATGCTATACCACAAACCCTTCTGTCGATGATAATGGCTGATCCCAGCCAGCCCTAAGCCGGACAGGAACCAGAACAGCCTCACTTTACCCGTGGGGTCGGCATCTCAGGTCAGGTCGACAAGATGACGGGCGGGGAGCCAATGGCCAGCAGTGATCCGATCATCCAAGTTTAACCCGTCTCTCCTAAAGAGCCAAGTTTCCCGACCCATGCGATGCGATGCGATGCGATGCACAGATCGCGTGTCCTGCAGACCAATGCGAGCCGGAGTCTTTGAATCGTGGAGACCCACCGAGATAGTACTGCCATATGACTACTGCTACTTGTAACTAACTAGGTTGTCATCGTGATCTCTATTGCATCCTTACTACGAGTAAAGAACTTGTATGATTACTGCGTACTAGTACCTTGTACTTGAAGCATGCTCAGGGGAAGCAGACCAAAAGAAGCCATGAATACTAGGTAATATGGAGTAGGCAAAGCTATTCAAAGCAGGGAATTGGAGCTTGGTATGTGGTTAGCCCAGACACTAGATCTTGAGCTAGCAGCGTTAGGGCGATCATGGAGAGATCCACCGGTGAAACATTGCGACTCCCTGCTAGGAAAGGTCGTTGTCTCGCAGCAGACTAGGAGGGGGTACGTAATACTCCAAAAGACGTTGAGAGTGCGAAGAGCCCTGGAGAGCGCTAAATTTATATCCAAATCCCATGGGATGTCTTAGGTTGAGGTTGTCCTGATGGTGACTGCCTCCCCCCCCCCTTATCCTTCCCTACCCCATAGCTTGAATACCCATTGTCTCTGTCTCTTTTCCTGTGTCTCTGTCTCTCTTCCTCTTGGTCTTTTCTTGGCTTTCTCCCCCTCCCCCCTGTTCCTATTCCTGTTCCTGGTTCTTGCGGGGCCACTTCAGCGCGGCCTCGTCACCCGCACGCCGCAAACGGTCGTGCTCTCCTTGTTCCTGAGTTGATTTGATTTAACTAACAACTCATCTGTTTCACACATTCTCTCCCACCTCACTCTCACATTCTATAGCTATCAAGGCCTGGTTCTTCTACCGGCGAGAAGTTCCCGGCCTCATCTATCCCGATGGCTTTCTTCAAGCAGCTTCGTCGCCGGTCCAAGGCTACCTTCAATGCGACCGACTCCAAGTCCCCTTCGACCAAGGTGGAAATGGTCTCGGGAAAATCCTCCTCCACGATCGACACTACTTCTCACAGCTCCATCACTCCCCCGTCGTCGATCAAACCGACCCTTTCCTCCCCGAATCTACCTTCTCTGTCCGAATCGACTGGAACCAGCATTGCCAGTACAGCTAGCACACCCCTCCCTGTTCCCCCGCAACGGCCAGCGCCTTTGGTAGCAACTCCCTCACAACGCAACAGTGTGGTGGTATGTGGTCGCTCTCTTTTTCGTCCTTGAACTAGTTGATCACTAACCTATCCTTCTGCGAACAGGGAAGCTCCTCCTCATCCATCAATGGCATATTTCGAACGCCCGCCCCAAGCTCGCCCTATGCTCCAAAAATTGTCTCCATCTCTGATAACAACTGGGTAAGCGCTGATGCTGGGGACGAATAGCAAAACGGCCGGTTGCTGACACCAGCTCTCTCAGGTCCACCAAAAAGTTCTCCTCATCTATGGCCAGGTTGGCGACCCGCGTCAACACCCACTGGACGGCAATTTGACAGTCTTCCATCACCAAGATAATTTCCCGTCGATCGGCTGGCCCGTCACGGCATCTCACTTTAAAGCTCTCGTTCATTTGATTCCTGGCCCCAATCGCCTTCGCTTCGACTTCGTTTCTCCCAAATTATCGACGGGAAGCACCCATCCCGCCGTGCACTCTACATGGATCAATATCAACTACTTGCCGTTGGTCAACTCCCCGCCTCTGCATCTGGTGGTTCTACTTGGCAAGGACTCCGATGGTACCTACGATGCCGTACCGGAAAGACAAGAGCGGGAAGGCAATGGTCTCGAA